TTCGTGGGTTATTCGTGGGTAATTCGTGGGTTATTTTGTGGGTTATTCGTGGGTAAACCCACGAACCCACGAACCCACGTTTCAAAACGTGGGTTATTTTTTTGTGAAAAATAACCCACGAATTTGGCCCCCAAATTATTGTTGTAAAGGGGGAGTTTTGGTTTGAGTGCGCGCGCACGCTCCGTGAAGACCACAAAAATATTCAGCTATGAAACAAGATTGCCATGCGTCAATTTTTACTCACGCTGCGTGGGTACCGGAGGGCCCTGGCAAGTTATTGCCAATTCCGAACCTCCGGGGCCGGCTGTCTTGCCTGCTATCATGAGCATATACCCGCTTTACGTTACACTACAGTAGTACAAATTCTATGTACTGTACGTACTTGTTATTTTACAGCGAATTCAGTACTGAAATACCTCCATCCAATGCCGCACCTCTTGCAACCTCCAACACATCAAAACGCCTCATCCGCAAGCAAAACAACGCCTCCTCCGCAACGAGCGTTCATTCATGCTCAAGCCATTCGCGTTTGCGTTTGGGTTTGTGAATACTCAAGGGACCGGCGTGCGGAGGCTTCGATACTCAAGCGAAACGCCCGTTAATGTACTGATACTTAAGGAACCGGCGTGCGGACGCTTCATACTCAAGGGACCGGCGTGCGGACACTTCATACTCAAGGGACTGGCGTGCGGACACTTCGTATTCAAGCGATTCGCGTTTGCGTTAGCCGGTACTTCTCTTCCATGCCTACGTTCCAGGCACAGGTCGACCGTGGTCGGTTACAACAGGCCCTTTCTCAGAAGTTTTATGTTCCTTATCCTTATGTTTCAAATCACAGGATTTATTTAATTGGGTCAACTGGCAATTTGTACACCATTACGTTTGACCCCGAGATTATGCAGTGCAATTGTCCTGATCAGCACCCTCTCATACAGTGCAATTGTCCTGATCAGCACCCTCTCTGCAAGCACATTTTATTCCTTTTATTGGAGCTCGGTCACAACGTCAAAATTGGGTTGCTCGACGTTGATGCTCTTTATATCAGGGACACCTTTCATCTCAAAGACTGGAAGTACGTCGATGATTTCACTACCCCACTTATTGCCGTGTTAGAAAAATCATGTCTGTTTTGTACTTCATTTCGAGAGTCAATGGCAAAAGAGGAAGACATTACCCTGTGCAACATTTGTACCGCAGTTTTCCATTCCCGCCACTTCAACGAAGGCTACCCCCTAGAGGAACAATGTCCATATTGCCATCGTGAATGGAATCCTTTACTAGCAGTCCGTTCTGGCAACTACTACAATTTCCAATCATTTGTAAACAGGTTTGTTTCGCATCCTCTGCCTGAAAATGATGGGAACAATCCTGACAATGAAGCCCTCTGCAAGGTCGTGCCTTGCTTTGAATGGGAGAAAGATAAGAACATCGACATCCGAGGTCTATGATGGCTTTGAACCTTAAGCATGGAACAACAGTTCTAGCTGTTGTTACCAATAGTCTACATTTTCACTTTTCTTGTAAAAGAAAAACAATAAATACTATGAGTTTCTTTGATACAGAGTTTTATTCACTCTTAGTACACACATGTCCCTAAAATCCAGTTTAAATTTTAGTGATGCATGTTCTGATCAAAATCTGAAAAATCATAGTTATTACAAAACTGCTAATGCTGTGATGCACTGCCTCATCGGTTTGTTGATGGTCATTTTTTTGCAGCAGCCAGTCCAAACCCACATCACACCATTATGTAGTTGACATATGAGAATCGTGTGATGTGTTCCAGAAAAACACCCTGGACTGTACAAAATCTGTTGCAAAACTCAGTTCTGAAGTCGCTACTTGCCAAGCATCTTTTCCGCCTGAATCATACTGGGAACAGCTGAATGCCTCTACTACTACTGCTGCTGGCCTTGTTTTTGTGTAAAGCAATTTTGCTTGCCGTCCTTCTTGCTTCTCCATTGAAACCCCACTTTGTTAGAACCATTCCTGATGTTAGTTCAAAATGATGTCGTGGCAAAGTACTCCTAACCTTATGGCAGAATTGCATGGTTAGGACAGCATCTTCCTTGCTATCCTTCCTCCTCTTATTCCTGCCATCCTTTTTCTTTGGTGCGGAGTCTCTAAAAACCAAAAGAACCTGTTCCTGGCGGTGAACATCAGTACGGTACGGTACAGAAGCGGATCAGTCAGCTCCAACTAAACTACCGTAGCTAATATACCGTACATGTCGGTACAGAGAAAAGAAAACCTGAAGGGAACGAAGTGGATTTTGAAATCCAACGTCACAATTTAAGATTGGAAGGCTGTGATCAACAACAGACCAACTGCACGACACCCATCACAAGCGAATAGAAAGGCAACGCTGCAAGCAAAACACACAAGCTACAGTACAATCAAGACCCAGTACAAGACATCCAGATGTCTCGACGGAACCAGGACCAGGGCGGGAGCAAACCCTCCATCGCCTTCCACATGATCCGGCACGCCGAAAGCAACAACAACAAGGTTTACGGAGATGCCAAACGCCTGTATCGCTACGGATCCGACGACTACGACAGCGAGGGCTTTCGTCGGTACGTGGATGCCCACCGCAGGGCGGATCCCCACCTGAGCCCGCTCGGGGTCGAGCAGGCGGACGCCCTGGCAAGCGAGTATCTCAACCCGGCCCTGTTCGACTGCCAGGCGTCGAGCCCGGTTCGAATCCTGTGCAGCCCGATGCTGCGGACGCTGCTGACCATCCGACCGGCCCTGCAGCGATTGGTGGTCTCCTCGAGCCAGACCGCGGGCAGCGGGGGTTCCGGCTTTCGGCAAAAGGTACACATGGTGGTGGTTGCCCATTACCACGAGATCGAGGGATGCCACGACAAAGGGGTTGCCCAGCCCGGCATGAGCCCGAACGAAATCCGCGACTGTCTCTTCCGCGACCTGCTCTGTAGCAGCGGTGGTAAAAGCAGCAGCGAGAGCAACGACACGATGCCAATCAGCCAGTCCGACATCGACGAAATTGTGACGCTGGAATTCGTGGGGTTTGACCATCCCCACGAAGGATGGTACGGTGGCACGGGCCACGAGGCAAGAGTCGATGCGGAAGCCAGAGCCGCGAAGTATTGTTTGTGGTTGACCGATTATCTCGATAGCCTCATGTACGGCAATGGCGACGGGGATCCCGACGAGACCGGCGACAGCAACAACAACGGCGACTTGTTCGACGTGGGCTTTCTGCTTCCGGGGGAGGAGCTCGAGGACCAGCACGACCGATTCGCCAGGCCCCTGCGCCGGCGGCGCACCGTGCTGGCGATCGGGCACGGGGATTTCATGTCCGTGGTGCTCAAGCGCTTGGTGGGGGGCTACGTCGGGTGCGGCAGGGGCGGCCGCCTGGTCGAGCAGTCCGGCCGGCCCCACCGCACCGCGTTTGCCCACTACAACACGGGCATCACGGAGCTCGAGTATTTTGGCCACGGCCGGTACCTGGTCATGACGACAAACGTCACCCCTCACATTCCGCCGGAGCGATACGCAGCCCTCCGATCCGGGGGGACGCTGCGGGACGGATGGGCCTTTACGGTGTAGGTTCTTGTGCATCGTTGATTGGTTCAGGTGCAACCGTGTTTGACTGTTGGTTTGCTGCACTGGTAGATATTTTGGTTTCGCGTCTTATCTTATTTTCTCCGTTTTCAAACATTTCGGAACCATTCCAACAACAGACCAACCTTGCCAGATATCACGGTAGAAAAGGAAGTTGTCCACGGCGACGACTGCGATGCCAAAAGCACGATCGAACACGACCACGTTCAAGAACAAACAACGGCGCTGAGGGCTCTGTACCTGTCGTCGTCCTCGTCGAGCGACGAAACCGTCCAGGAAACGAGCGATGCCGATGACGCGGTGCGGTTCGTGGTCAAACGTKGATTTCAGGTGCTGGCCGTCGCTACCTACTCCCAACGGAGTGGCATGCTGACAGACGTGGCAATTCGACCCGCGGCAAACGTTTCCGTTGTGTTGCTCGAAGCCATTAAGGAACACGCGCGTTCGATCGACAGCGGGTCTCAATCGTGTCTTTCGGTTCGTCCCCGGACAGGGGACGACCGAAAAAACTTCGAGCGGATGGGCTTTCTTGACCAGAAGAGCTCCGCAGACAAACAGCCGCCACATTCCATTATGAAACTGGATTTTGATCCCGTTCCAAAAGAATTTCCTGGCGCCGAAAAACTATCCAATCTTTAAGGGAGACAATGGCAATCACTGGACTCCTTTTTGTTGCAACTGAACCTTTGGGGACTTGTGTAGCTGAATGGTTTGAAATTGGAATCGTCAATCCAGAGAAATACCCCCAGCGTCTCCATCCAGCAATGCACTTCCAGACAGAAATTGGTCGGCACCATCTTTTTTTGGGCCACCTTTCTCGGCATTGGATCTCAGATCCAGATACCCATACCAGTTCCTATTCCTCTGTCGCTTTAGGACCATCCTTGGTTAAAGTCTTTCTGTGGTCATACTTTGCTCGGTGGAAGCAATGCAAATATCGGACCCAACTCTTCAAATACATCTAGCACACCCAAGAACTCCTGTACTGCCCTGGTCGTGCCCCTCTGGTAGTGCCGCCCCTTGGAGCAACTAGAAGCATCCTTCTCCCGAACAGTGATGGCTCTTGCTTGTCTATTGCCTCTTCTAGTTCACGAGGTTGAAAATAATATGAATTTTTTCCCAATAATGATACTGGATTTGTAAAAACAACGTTCTGAGAGCATTTAGTGCGTGTATAGCTTCGGCATTGTTTTTCACTAGAGCAATAGATCTTTGAAACTGTTAAGTTTTAATTCTTAATTAAAAATGAACGCTGCGCATGAAGGAAATGCGATGTCGGTTCTAAGCGCACATGCGACGATGTATAGGTTCTATTAAACCTCCTCATCCGAGAACGAAGAATCGCTATCGAGATCGTCGTCGTCGTCGTCATCGTCTTCGCCACTCTCGAAATTGTCCTCCATTTCACTGTCGCTGTCGTCGCTATCTTGGAATCTCGCCGACGCTGCTCGATTGTTGTACCGGTACACGAGATCCTCCGTTTCCGAATCCAGTTCGTCCTCGTCCGTATCCCCACCGGGTGGTGCAATAACACCGTCGTCATCTGACCCATTGTTGAGACGGATGCACTTTAGATTGGGCAATCCACTCTCGAGCCGATCCAGTAGGCTGCTTTCTCTTTCCTCTAGACCCCGGCAACCGTACAGCGCCAGCGACTTAAGGTTTCGCAGGCCGCTCAGGTGGACCAGAGCTCCGTTGCTGACCCGTGTGTTGCTCAGGTTCAGAGCCTTAAGCTTTGATAGAGACACCAGCGCCGCTGCTCCACGGTTAGTGATGCGTTCGTTTTGAGACAGATTTAGGGTTTCTAGGTTTCCAAGGGTGGCCAGAGTGGCACATCCGCGGTCGGTGACACCACCCCCGCATAGCTCGAGGGATTCTAGCGACTTGATATCGGCAATGTGGGTACAGCCATAATCGGTGATCCGCCCCGAAAAAATATCCAGCGACTTGAGGTTTTTAAGTGTTTTCAGGTGCAGCAACCCGTTGTCGCTAATGTCTCGGCTGTCGAGATTCAGTACTTCCAGCGACGACAACGACGATAGATATCTAAGAGAGGAGTTTGTAAGGTTGCAGTAAAAGAGAGACAAGCGTTTCAGCTTTTTGAATTTCGAAATCTTGACCATCCCCAGGTCCGAAAGATCCGTGTCAGCCAAATCTAGTGACACAAGGTTCGGCACTACGTCGTTGTCGGCCAGGTGCGATATGCTCCAATCGCCGATTGGGCAACTATCCAGATTGATCTCCTCCAGCGCTGGCAAGTCGGTCAGTCGAGCAATATGGGAATCTCTCACAGCTGAGTAACACACATCCAGTGTCTTCAGGGACTTGATCTTCCCTTGCCACGAAGATCGCCTTTGGGCAAGGCGTGAAAGAAAGAAAGCATAAATTCAGCAGATTGTTCAAAAACGCAGGTCGAATCGTACTCATTCACAACATCATAAACGTACAAAATTCCAGGGCAGTACGAAACGTCCAAACTCGAGAGTTTCGTAAGATATTCCAGCGTATTTCCCAGAGAAAAACTTCCGATCGCGGAACAGCCGTTTAGATCTAATTCTTCGAGTGCCAGCAATTTTCCGAGGTGCTGAACCCCCGTATTGGTAATGGGAATCCTCGCTAGGCTAAGAATACGGAGATTCTCGGATCTCCCGCGCTGGTTCGACAAGGTCTCGATTCCCTGGTCCGTGATCGTTCGGCACCAGCCCAGCGAGAGCTCCTCGATCCCCGCGCAGTGCTCTAGCTCCTCCAGGCCGTCGTCGGTGATCAGATCGCACTGTGATAGATCCAGTTTCTTGATGTTCACCAGGTTGCCAATCGCCGCCAGGCTCCGATCGGTCAGGCAGCGACAGCCGTCCAGGGAGAGCGCCTCAAGAGAGACCAGGTGCGAAACGTTGGTGATTGCCTCGTCCGTGAGTCGGCGGCAGCTCGCGAGCGACAGCGTGTGGAGCTGGTGGGAGCGTGCTAGTGCTACCAGTCCCCTGCCCTGGATGGAATGGCAGTTGTCGAGCTTGGCAATCTCGAGGCTCGACAAGTCGGAGAGCTGGAGCAGGCCCCTGTCGGTGAGGCGCTGGGACCCCCGCAGATCGAGCAGTGTGATATTAGATGTAATGCAAACACCAAAGTTGTGCGCCTGGGGTTCCTCGGTATACGAATATTCACCACCATAAGGATGGTGCGCAAAGGGTGCATCGCTCATCTCTTTGTTTTCCTCTCCCATGGGTTCATCTTCCTTCCAGCCACCACCGGAAGCAGCAGCGGATGACGACAAATAATAGGGATTTGAGGAGGCCGAAACAAAGCTCGACGTGGAACAGGAGGAATCGATTTCTTCACCACTGTCCTCGTGGCTTGATGCCTCGTGTTTCGCGTTGTAAAAGACCTCGCTTTCGTCGTCGAGGTTCATGGCTTCCATTGTTGTGTCGCCGTCGCCCCTGTCCAACACCGGGGCGAGGGGCGGCGAGGAAGCGGGAGTCGAATACGAATTCGAATGCGCATTCGACAGCGACGAAGTAGATGCGGAGGACGGCGCCAGGGGCTCGAGCCACTCGTCCGTGACGCCGCGGCAGCCGTTCAGGGTGAGTGAGCCCAGCTCGCAGTGCCTAAGGACCTTCAGAGTGGTCGCGTTTAGGGCCGAGTGCCTCACAAGGGAAGACACAACGTCGTCGACGACGTCTTGTGGCAGCCCCGGCGGGAGAGCTCCGTCCAGGTAGGGGAGGGACCGGCAGAGGGTGTCGGTGCACAGCTCGGAAAGGCTCTTGGGAGATCGCGAGCCATCGTAGTTCTGGACGTAGTTGTCTTCGACGGGGTACAGGTTTGAAATGAAATCGTCTGGGACCTATATCGTGTACGGAGCAAGGAGGCCGACAAAGTAGCACAGAAGACAATACTTAGCGAACAATAATCCCAAAGATACAAAGAAAACACATTTCTGCTCTCAAAGGTTCACCAGTAAAACCCGACGACGTTCGAGAACACATCAAAGCAGTGTCATGTCACAGTATTGAACTGTAGAACGCACCGCAGAAACCACTGCATGGCGAGAGCACATGTGGTTTGGAGATTTGGAAGGAGAAGTGGAACCGCCATTTCCAAGCTTTGGTTTGTGAAATCCGCGATGTGTGACGCAAACGAGATTCCGTTCCACATGGAACCAAAGACGTCAAGAATTATTCCATTAAGAACAAATGAAAAAGAATCAGGGCATGTCAGAAAATACAGTCAGTGGCAGTCGCCGTAACATCGTCATTGACAATGATCAGCAAGGAACTCCACTCTATTGCGGTTATCATCGCATCACATCTCATCACAAATCATCACATCAAAACCTACACATCGGTTTCTGTTTTTCCTTGTCCCGGAATTCCTTCGCTCGTTCCTCTGCATCGAACAAGCACCCCCCATCATGTCTTCCATTCCACTGCGTTTGTTTTATTGACTTTGATTGCAGAAAGATAGCACTGGTTAAGTTCAGTTGGTTTTGCTATCGAATTCCTCCTACAGGCAAGATTCCTTCTATTGTTTTTTCTGTGGAAGCAGGAATTTCGTGTTGTCACAGCGCGGAACGATGCACTTGATTTTTGTATTCGTATTCGCCGTAGTTTGTTCTGTGTTGTAGCGTGTCAACGAATTTTTTGCAAATCACCGATCACACACCTTTTCCTCGTCTTCACGAAGCATTTCAAAATCGAGGAATTTGCATCGCGTCATCCATCATCGTAGTAGCATCTGTCCATTGAAAGAACTTGTTTGTCGCGCGCTATCTTCTTGTTTTTTCAGCGCGCAAAGCGTTCGCATGGATTAAACTACTTCTACCGTAGGAGGATACTTAGCTTGAAGGCACTAACTGCTGCACACCGGACTTGAGTATTCTAGAACTGAACCGTAAGTACGCACGTTTCAATCGGTAGCTGGTATAGTACCTCCTCATGGGAAAAGAATAAGAGTTTTTAACGATTCGCGCGTGCCCTTTTTCGGGAAGCTCCATCTCAGCAACCAGTCGTTGTCTGACAGTGTTCGACATATCAAAAGATGCAGAAAAAAGAGTACTATGACTAGTTTGCAGTGTCATTGTCAAGCAATGACTTGCCATCGAGAAGAAGCTTCCCAAAAAAGGGCAGCGTATGTATTTTTCGATACTTARAAAATAATCACTTTCACATATGCCTGCCGTTATTTCGACTCCCCTCTCTGAAGGACGGCTTGCGCGCGTGAAGCCAGACCGCGCACAGAACGCGCGCAGGAAAAAGGC